CGGCACACCCAGCTCAAAAGAAAAAGAAAAAAGGGAATGAGGAGACCAGCGGGGGAGACTCCCCGCCTATGCAAGCCCCAGAGAGGGGCCGCCATCGCCGAAGCTGTGCCAAAGCATAACTCCAAAACCCGCAGCGGCCCAGGGGGCCTTGGGGGCAGCCTGCCGGACCGCCGCTGCACGGGGCTAGGCACCAGAAGATGAGTGGAATTGATGAATCGGGCCGTTGTCCGTGCCTCCCCTCTATACGTCAGAGTGGGACCTACGCCGCGCCGGGAAAGGGGCGCGCCCGGTCCTCGACGGAGCCGCGCGCCCCAAACGACCCAGGCGGCGAGTAGTCGACCTCGAACCTTCGACATGTAGTTGCCCGTAGTTAGCGCCCGCCCGCCCCCGCCTCCGTCGCTTCGTAAAAGAAAAAACGAAATAAAAACAAGCAAAAGAGAAAGCGATGTGCCAGCTTGCACGGCGCTCGCGCCGCGCCGGCTGGCTCATCGAGCGCGCACTCCGGCTCCGTCCGGGCCACGCGCGGCGCCGCGCGTGCCTCGCGCCACTCGCCTCGGCTGGCAGTACCTGGCAGTACAACGCCAAAAGCCGCCTCGCAAACACCGCGCACAGCACCAGCATGCTGCCCACCAGGCAGCAGAGTGCTGCACCGGCGTGCAGCGGATGCTGCGGCGCTGCGGCGCCGCCTCCCCGCCCTGTCCACGGAGCAGGCGAGCGGCGGCACGGCCTTCCACCAGCTGCAGGAGGTGCGCACTTCCGAAAGGAAGCACCAGATGCACCTTCAGCACACGCAGCTTTGCGCAGCGCAGCGCACGGGCTACGCCACGCAAAGCCGACCCTCAGTCTGCCCAAGAGGCTGTCTGTGGAAGGCCTGCCAGCGCGTACTCGCCTCCTCCGCGGCCATGCCCTCTGCACGGGCGAGCGAGCAACGCGAGAGGGGACACAACCATTTCTGGAATTCTGGTCCCCTCATATTTTATGAGCTAGATTAATTCTTTTTCGAGGCCGTGTGTCGCTGTGCGACCCAGTTCGCGCCCTCGTCGTGCCAGTGTGCTGTGACGAAAAGGCGCGCCTTAGCGCCGATGGCCGACAACGCTTCTCTCGCCGACCTGGCCCGAGAGCGGCTTGCACGGCGCGGACCGCCGCCGCCGCCTGCCGCACGCTCCGTGGCGCTCCCTGCGGTGCCCGGCTGGAAGCTGCTCGCAGCGGTCCTTGCAGGCTGGGCTGCACTCGCCTGGACGCAGCGGTCAGCTTGCGGCTGCGGCGCCGAGCACAGCCCAGAACAGGCGCTTGCGGACGCGCTGAGCGGCCTTGGCCAGCTGCTGAGCGGCGCGAAAAGTGCCCGGTCCGTGCAGCAGTCCTTTGGCCAGAGCATGGAGCGGCTGCAGCAGAGCTGCGACTCGCGGCTCAGCTCGGCTGTCTGCCACACCTCCTGCTGGATGGCGGGCAAGGAGCTGCAGCGGTCGATCTGGTGGTCGTGCTTCAGGCGCGGAGGCCACCGCCTGCCTGAGCAGCCGGGTGGCGGTGGGGCAGAGGGCCGCGGAACGGGCGGGCCTACCTCATGGCCGGGGCTGGTAGGGGAGAAGGTCGGGCAGGCCGTGCGCCGCATCT